CGATATAGTGATATGGTCTGCAAACATGTTCCAGTCAGCTTTCTTAAATATTCTTTTGCTTTTTTCTTCCATTATTTCAAATATCATCTGATGATTATTTTTGTCCATGGTTATTTCGCAACAAGTGGGGAAATGGTCGCTGTTGCCACAGTCTGGAAGAGTTCTCCAATGGCATTGTGGTGCAGTATCATTTGAGACTAGCGTTACATCGACTGGGCTTCGACGTTGTCCTGGGGCAGTCATTCGGGTGGGGGACCCGTCGTTCATTATAATGAGGTTATGATCTTCAGCTATGTCACTTAATATTCGTCCATTAGGGTTGTTTATTTCACTTCCCCATGCTTGGTTATGGGCGTTGAGGTCTCCCATCCAAATGACTGGTCCATTGAGTGAATTCAATAGTCTATTAATTGTGGTTACTGACAATCTGTTTGTTGGGCTAGAGTACATATTGATTAAATTGTATCCATGTATTCTGATTACCTGTGTTTGAAATCTGTTATTTCTACCGATGTTATCAAGTTGTATTTCATTGTATTTGATGTTGTTTTTTACTAAAATGATAATAATATAAAATGAATTCTAAAAGTGGAAACGCAATGATTTCTACACCCTGGAATTATCCTGGTATGTCTTTCAATATACAGGGTGTTGCGAAATTCGACCGACAACGCTTGACAGGTGATAGCCCTCGTGATTTCATAATTACTAAGATAGGAACATATACGGTCTTCAAGTGTTCAGTTCTCGAGATACAGGGCGTTGAAGTTAAGAAATGAATATATAGTTGTTTCGCGATATCTCAAGAATAATTGAACATAATGCATTCAACTTTGGTACATGATTTCATCTTTGAATGGGTCATTTTTTGACCAGGAAGCCATTCCGGACATTTTATCCAGAGGTGCACTACAGGGGGGTTGTGGCAACTTTTCCTCCCATATTTTCTACGCCACTGATTAAATTTCGATTATTCTCAATTCCTCGAATTTATTGTTCAATTTTGTTTAGAAAATTGTGTAGGTAGTAGAAAATTGCAAAAATATTTTTCTGGTGTTGAGTAGATTAGATACTATTCAGATCTCATTCTATAGCTGAACAGAAATAGTTATTCCACGGTCCACGCATAAAGAGAAAACAAAATTTTTGTAATTATGAAGTGAAAAATTACTATGCAAACTTCAATTTTGGGTCAAATATCTCGATAATTGTTCATTTTAGCTCAGTTGAAGGTGATGCATTTTTTCAACATAATTGAACAATCAATTCGTGAAATTGGAAATAATTGGAATTTCATCAGTGGCGTAGAAAATATGGGAGGAAAAGTTATCACAACCCTAGCTCAGTAGTGCACCTCTGGATGAAATTCTCGGAATGACTTTCTGGTAAAAAAATTAACCATTGTAAGATCGATGAAACCATATTCCGAATTTGAATGCATTATATTCAATTTTTCTTGAGATATTGCGAAAAAACTATTTCGATTTCTTAACTTCAACGCCCTGTATCTCGAGAACTGAACTTTTCAAGACCGTATGTCCCTATCTCAGTGATCACGAGGACTAAAGCGTTGTCTGTCGAATTTCGAAACACCCTGTATATGAAGAACACAATACACAATACTGTTTAGGTCTTATCAACTCGCAAGCCGTCCAGGGGTAGCGATGAATGATAATTATATAAAATAAACTCTGACAGTGGGGGTGCAGTGATTTCTTTACCCTAAAATTATCATGGTTAATTACAATTTATGTTATATTATTATTTATCGCTGCCCCCTTCGGACGGATTGCAAGTTGATGGGACCTGAACACTCGTATTTGATATATTTTGGAAAACTCACCATGATGATTTCAGGGTGTAGAAATCATTGCGTCCCCACTTTTAGAATTTATTTTATATTATTATTTCTCGCTGTCCCATTTCGGATGGACTACGAGAAGATTTGACATGAACAGTTATATCTAACAGTGAGAAGATCTTCGACGCCACTGGCCGTTCGGCTGTCTTCGGAAAATTGGCTGTTCTGGCCGTTGTTTTCACTATCAACTATTTTGTGTAATAAAAGGTGATTAGATAATATTCTTAAAGTATGGAAACTCACAAATATCTCAGTAACGACTCCGCTTACTGATCACTTACTGATTCAAAATGATTTTTGAGACAAATATTTTCGATTGATACAAGAAGAAAATAAAAATTGCGATGGGTGATTCAAATGGTTGGCAGTGTTGCCACGATGTGCTCTTCAGTTGAGTTCCTTATTATAATCATTTATAATCATACACATAGTGGAATATATCTATCCCAAGAAAAATCAATTTCTTCATAGCTTTGTCAGTTTTTGAGTTATGCAGATCAAAATAATGGAATTTTAACGCTCTCTGTTGTTGATCGGTAAGGAAGCGTTTTCGGATACATGTTCAATGGAAAAAAAGTCTGAGTTTGACCTGAAAAATACACCATTCTACTCTTGATACTAAATTCCGAAACACCCTGTATATAGTGCTGCATATACATTTTTATATTGCTTCACATCCGGTCATCAGATGAGGCCCCACCTATAATACTATTATATAATAATATATATTTTATGAATTATACTTACCTTCATAAAATATTCATAGGAGCACATGATGGAACATTTGAATGTTCTCAGAATATTGCACAATACATTTAAAATATTCTATTCATATTGTATGGACATCCAAAGTGGACTGAATTTCACATTCTCTGAACATTTTCGGAATATTCTTGAGATGCTCTGAGTTCATTATCGAAATATTTATAGCGCATTATTTGAATATTCTCAGAAAATTATACGAATATTCTAGGGAATATACAAAACGGACTATTCTAGATATTCTGATGAGAATATTCCTGGTAGGTATATTATAGAAAGGAAATTGAAAAAGCTTACTCCCGCAGGGTTCCGAACCTACTCTATTGTGAACATATAATTACTAACCTGTCACCTTTACCACTGAGCTACGAACCTTTCTAATGAATGATATGAATGACAAAAGATATCAACACTTGATATAGGTTGATATAATGATATAGTGTTGAAAAGGAATATTCTCAGATAAATTATGAACATACAAAAATGGATATATATTTATATAAAGCAATACATTGAGAATTCGCATAATGATATAGGTTGGGTCAGGGGAACACTTTGTATATTGATAATACGATAATAACATATATATTGGTTGCAGGATGAAAATGTTCTATGATCATTCTAAGGGCTTAAGTTCTATCAGGATATTCCCAAATTGAGTATATTTGAACATTGTCATTCTAGAATATACCGATTCAGAAGCTCATGGGAACGTATTTTTAGAATATCATCAGTATATTCGCATATGGAATATTCCATGAATGTTTTACAATATTCTGAATATGTTATGTCATGAACATTCTGGAATATAATATCTCATTAGCTTCTAGGAATGTACTTTCATAATATTATCAAAATATTCGCATGGAACATTCCATAAATATTCGCAACATTTTAATGGCATTCTATGAATATTCTTTGGAATATTCTACAAGGTGATATTTCCGCAGCTTGTAAGAACATTCTGAGAATATGAGTGCTATAACGGGGTCTATTCTACAATCTTATTACAAAAAAAATAATATTGCGGTGTTTTTTTTCCTCAATACGGACCTGTCTCATTAATATCCCTCTCCTTATTCCGAAGCTTACACACATTTTGCTGTATATTCGCTGTTCTGTGCCCATACCACCAATCCCCAATTGACGATGACGAATAAAGATAACTCGGAGAAAGATAACAATAACATAGAACATAAAACGTCGTCACGTCAGAACTAAAAAGTCTCAACCACAAATAGACGCTAGGCGCACACACCTCACGAAATTAAAAATGCTCATGAATTATTATGCAAAGAATTGTCATTTTTATGAGCCCATCAAATAACTTCATCAAGGTGAACATTTTACAATATGTTCAAATAGTAGATAGGACTATGAAAAATCATGGGGTTATTCAATATACCACCATGTGCTTACCTAGGTATATACATGTATTCTATAGGTACTTGTAGGTACTTGGGTGTACTGAAATGTTTACAGTACCAGCGGCAGCGCTAATGCCACGGTATACTTTCATATTATTAGATATATTATAGATGTCAGAGCTGTTAAAATAGGTATACCTATATTATCATAGATTTATTTTTTCTTCGGACATCACAAATAACTGATGGACACGATTACATCGTGCTGATGGATTACTAATCATTATGTTGTCATTTCAAATTGTATTAGGTACCCTCGTAGGTCGTAGGTATCTAATTTACCTGTAAAGTGGTGACTATACCTTGTGCCAAATCAAAATAATTTGATTTCTTGTAATTTCAGTTTTAAAACAAGTCACGAAATATGGTCATTGACTTGGATTGCAATTTTATTGTTTTATTTTATATGCATTTCATTGAATTTGATTCGTCTAATACTCTGATTAAATGATCATTATAAATATATATCCATACCCATACACCTCCCAAGTGTTGTATGTATTCGTAGATCTTTGCTAATCGCTTTTACCTACTATTTTATGATAATTCAATAATTCGTAATTGATTAGGTCCCGAGTGAACCGACGAGTTTCCTCTATACCTTGTGACTATTGTGACTGTGTATACTTGTCCAGTCAAGATAACGTTCGATTGATATAGTATTATTCGTACCCGAACGAAATGAGTGTAAACCGGAATACGAGTGATGAATGAATGAATGAAAGAGAGATTTTGTCGTTCTTTTACAAGTATTGATTTCGGCAGTTACTACGTAAAATTGTGACATTTGGCAACAGCGCGCCGATGTACCAACTCCACCACATTACGGACCAAGTCACCAAGGCGAGCTTGATTTTCACAAACATTTTCCGAGGACGGAACGATGCAGGCCCTGCTGTGTTTGTCAACAGTGCGAAATTCCTAGCGGCCGTTATTACTGATTATACGATATGGAAGTGATTTCGACAGGGGCTTCAAGACTTTTTTTAACTTCTCCTGTGGAAAATAAAGATGATTTAGAAGAGGTAAATCGTTTTGAAACATATTAGTTATCAAAAATGTCCGCCATTGTGGATCTCGCCTGGACTTCTTTTATTTGTATTTTGACGCTGACAGTACTGTGACGGCGCTAAATTTGAATTTATTTTTTCGTTTTCAGAAACTCGAACGAAGTTACCAATTTCTTCAAAGCACAATAGGTGGACTAAGTGATAAGGATGCACACGAGGCACTCAACAAAGCCCTCCTCAAAGAGAAAGGGTATGAAGAAGTGTCATTTGGACTTTTGGTAACAATTTTAACTGAACCATCTAATGCAACAAAAAGTTATAGGGACTTAACATTGATAACCCGCGACGGGTTTGGACTTATAGTAACAAATTTATCACAGTTAGTGTTGGACAGATACTTAAGATTTAATGATGTGGTGAAATCTCAGTTGATATGGCTCCTTCGAGAAATGATAAAAAATGCTGTGAGCAATGTTGATAACCTGGTGTGGAACCTCATGCGACATGCTGCAGGTGGTGATATATCTCCAAAAAATATTACGCTTATTGAATCCCTTCTAGATGTTTTTATTGAATACAGGAATTGGTTGGAAAAATTTCCACTTCTAATAGCATCTGTAGTGTATACATATTTAAGGATAATTGAAGATCACAATGCGCCTTACCTAGCAAATCTGAGACAGAAGGAAGTGAATTTTTTAATTGGTGTAATGCGTGATCATTTCCATGAGTGTTTAGTTATTGGAAGGGACTTGGTGAGACTTTTGCAAAATGTGGCAAGGATACCAGAATTTGAACAGCTCTGGAAAGATATTCTTCTATCACCAAAGACACTATCTCCTACATTCAGTGGTGTGCTGCAGTTACTGCAGAACAGAACTTCACGCCGATTTTTGCAATCCAGGCTAACGCCTGAAATGGAGAGGAAACTTGTGTTCCTAACCTCACAAGTGAGGTTTGGAAACCACAAACGTTACCAAGACTGGTTCCAGCGCCAATATTTGGCCACACCAGAATCCCAAAGTCTCAGATGTGATATCATACGCTTCATAGTTGGAGTTATTCACCCCACAAATGAACTGTTGTGCTCTGACATAATTCCCCGTTGGGCAGTGATAGGTTGGCTGTTGACCACTTGTACTTCTAGTGTGGCAGTGTCGAATGCAAAGTTGGCGCTGTTTTATGACTGGCTTTTTTTCGATAGTGAGAAAGACAACATAATGAACATAGAACCAGCTATTTTAGTCATGCACCATTCCATGAGATCGCATCCAGCAGTTTCAGCCACACTACTGGACTTCCTCTGTAGAATCATAACGAATTTTTATCCTCCCTTAGGCGAAAAAGTTCGCGCGGGAATTTTCACCTCCCTGAGACAAATTCTGGATAAGAGGGTGTTGCCTTCTCTGTTGCCCCTTTTTGACAATTCAAAATTAGACAGGGAGTTGAGGAATATGGTCCAGGAAACTTTCAGGGAGTTTTGCAGCACCAACAATTCAGAGTCATCTTCCAAAGACAGTTTTAGTGTCCCAAACTCCGTGAAATATGATGATGCTGACTCTGTCGAACAGCGAATGACAGCAGCTTTGAACAATCACATCATAGACAATGAACCGGCTTTCAGTGATGACGAAGATGACACCTCAATGAGGATTACCACCAACCTGGAGTATGACACAGATGACGATGACATTCCTCTGTCCAAAGTGCAGTTGAAGGAAAAAAGTGACAAGTTGGATGACAGCCTGAAATGGATACATGGATGGAACACCCTGACAAAACTACAAACAGAAACAGATTCAGAAGAAAGGGTGGATTTGATGCTGATGTTGATAGATCTGCTCAAGGAATTGGAGGAGGATGACGAGAACATACCGGGAATAGCAAAGTCTTTGGCTAGCTGTTTTAAAGAGGACATGAAGGGGGAAGTTTTCCCTGAAATGGTGACAGAAGAGAATCTCATGGAGAGCATCAACTCCCCACTGTTCACCCTGTTCAAAACCCTGTATGAATTCAACAAGGACGAGTTTGGCAAAGATATCTTGTACAAAATAGCAGCAGAGATACATAATGAGATGCCCAGCATGGGGTATCTCCTCCTCTACTACCTCAAAGTGAAAATATGGACGGAAATCAAGAAAGAAGACCACTCTGTCACCAGCGCGCTGAGGATCGGCGTTTACAAGGATCTCTGCCAGAGCAGGGAAAGGAAGTTAGACATCTGTATTTATGATGATTTATTTGCTTGTCACATCGGCGATACCAAATTGATGATGTGGATAGTGCCTGATCTGTACAGGGATTTCAAACAACAAACGCTGAACAACGCTCAAATTTTGCGGGTGATCATATCGGCGATAGATTTCAGGCAGTTGCAAACTTTGGTGGGGAAAGTTTTGCAGGGCCACCTTGTCATGTTCAAGGCGGAAAACATCATTCCCCTGTTGAAAAACACTCTGACGTGGGAGAGCATAGAACAGTTTTTCTTGTGGCAGCTGGTCAATGCCCATGATATATCCATAGACTGTGTTTTACCTTTAATTACCGAGCTTGATTATGACCAACATTCAGAAGCCCTGATGGCCATTACACTGATGCTCAAGCAGGAGAAGCCTAACGCGGATTACATAAAATACTTGTTTTCCAGGGATATTTGTGATAATGGGGACTTATTCGTTTTCACAATAATTAAATATTGGTGTGATGAGTACATAGACAAAGTAGCTGAGTTGATATCTTCGCTTTTGAGTACGCGGTACCCTTCAACTTCGCCGAACAAACGGAAAAGGTCCAGTAGCAGTAAAACATTGAGCGCCACTGTGCCCAGTGCCGACCAGGTTTTAGGACATTTGGAAAAACTGAGGATTATCTGTGAAAAGCACGACTGTATGGCCATTTACACGTTGGATTCGATGCAGCGGGCGTTAAGTATCGCGCATAATAATAGTAATGATAGTCAGAGGAAACAGTTCAGTGAGTTGTTTGCTTTGATGGAGGAGGAGGAGGAGATCAGCTCTACCAAGAGGTCCCAGGGGAGAGGGAGGAAGCCAGCCAATAAGAACGCCGTCGTGGCCAAGAGGCAGACTAGAGATATATCAGATTCTTCTGAAGAAAGTAGTGAGGTGAGTACACATTTGCATTCATATTTACTTTGTGATATATTTTTTCACAAATTTATGATTTCATTTCCATAATAATTGATTTCGTCTGGGAATTTTACTAAAACAATTGCCAAGAGTAAACTTTATTGCTCCTTGATGAAAATTTTCTTTGTAATGTAAAACCAAAAAAAAATTGAGAAAAAATATTTGCAAAAAATTATAGTAAAAATGAAAACAGTTTTAGCTACAAAGTCTCAAACAAAGTACTGCTATAAAAATTGGGCCTTATGACTGCAATTGAATTATCCCAAAATGACATTATCTGATAACAATTAAATATCAAAATGAGCGCAAAATGTGGCTGAAATAGTAGTTTACCTAACAAATGCAAAAAGTCATACTTTTTCGCATGCATTAAGTAGCCAAGATGTTCTAATATTGTGCGGAAAAGTCCACTTTTGCGCACTCATTTTAATATTGAGTAACTTTTCTGCACTAGTGCGGAAAATACTTTTTCCTACTAGTGTGCGAAAAAGTTACTTTTTCGCATTATTTTTTGTTTTGAAAGTTGTACTTTTCCATACAATTTCACTTTTCCGCACGGTTTTCAGTTTTCACAATTCAAATGATTATCCATAGTTACTGTTTTTCATTCAGAAAACCTAGATCTGTGTATTAGATAATATCGTGCGGAAAAGTAACTTTTCCCCACTAGTGCTGGGAAGTAACTTTTCCCCACTAGTGCCGAAATTAACTATTCCGCACTCATTTTGTGCGGAAAAGTAATTTTGTTATTATTAATATTGATAATATTTTTTTTCTACTCTTGTGACTTTCCTGTACAGGGTGATTCACCATAAATGTCACCAAATCTAGCTCAGTTATTTTTTAATCAATCGCAAGATTTGAGGCATTAATTGGAATAATTTTTGATAAAGTTTTTTTCCACTACATTAAAAAATACAAGGTGCTCGGAACAAACAATCTACAGGGTACTAGTTGATTTTTTCAAATAAAACATCCTGCATTTGATTGCATATTTTGTAGATTCTCCCTGAAGAGCTGATCAATGCATTACACTAGGAGTCTAGTGTGAATGATTACAGAGATATAGGATGTTCAAAATCGAGATTTTTCAACAAGGATTTTTTCTGTCGGAGCTATTCAATGCACCACCCTGTAGTATTCCGATTAAATGTCAATAGATAGTAAATCAAAAGTAGTGATAGGGACATATGACTCGTTTTGACGAGCATTTTGACCAATAATGAATAGTTTGAACACAAAGTTGAAAAATCTCGATTTTGAACACCCTATACCTCCGTAATTATTCCCGCTAGACCCCAAGTGTGATGCATTGATGAAATCAGCTCTTCAGGGAGAATATAAAAATGAAATGAAATACCCCATTTCAAAAAATCAACTAGTACCCTGTAGATCGTTTGTTCCGAGCACCCTGTATTTTCTGATGTAGCGGAAAAAACTTATTGAAAAATCATTTCAAATGATCCCTTAAATTTTGCGATAGGTTCAAAAATAACTTAGCTAGAGGGAGGATATTAATGGTGAATCACCCTGTACTTGTTAGGCAACTACCATTTTCTACTAGCCTGCGGAAAATACCCAAAAGTTAATGTATAGAAACATTATTTAGGACGAGAGATATTGAGGGAATTGTTTTAAGCAAACTAGGAAGAGATTAAATTAAGAGGTTAACTCTTTCTGAGGGTTATGTCCAATAATTTCTTGATAGTTTGCTTGAAACATTTATTATTGAATACATATCAACAAATTAATTATTATCAATAATAATATTGAACGTGCAATTTTTGAGGGTTATGTCCAATAATTTCTTGATAGTTTGCTTGAAACATTTATTATTAAATAGATATCAACAAATTAATTATTATCAATAAAAATATTGAACGTGCAATTTTTGAGGGTTAGGTCCAATAATTTCTTGATAGTTTGCTTGAAACATTTATTATTAAATACATATCAACAAATTAATTATTATCAATAATAATATTGAACGTGCAATTTGTAGCATTCTGCAAATTAATTGCAGAGGCTAAAATGTTTTCCAATGAAGTCAGGTTTGGTTTTCCATTGCTGTCAGCAGCAAATGCGGAAAAAAGTATTTTCCGCATTAATGCGGAAAAGTGATTCTTTCAACATTAAAATGAGCGCGGAGAATTACGGTCGTAAAAAAATTCCAAAAAATAACGAATATAAAAAAAGACAACTAAATGAGAATGCAAACATGAACTTTATTAACATATCATAACTAAGAAAGACTCCAATTTTTACTTTTTAACACAAAAAATACTTAAAAAAGAACCATAATAAAAATCTCAATGACAATTAACATAACTGAATGATCCCAAAATAGTAGCCACATCAATACACTGTCAAAAATTGTTTAGCAAAAGTTCTGCCACAAATAAATCCATTGCAAATTATGACCATAGAAAAACAATAAAATTATGATATAAAATAAAATATACACAGTGAACTGTTCACACTATACAGTATGATGCAAATGTATGGAATAAATTCATTATTTCAGAAATGGGCGACTTCTGAAAAAATTCCAAAAACACGTGAGTTTTAATTTTTGAATTCTCATCTCATGATATTTATATGAGAGATGTTACGTCACCGGTATTGGAGTAATGGCGTAATCGACCAGTTTTTCAAATACAAACAGGGGTCATGTGACACCTCATGTGAAAGGTCTACTGATCGTCTATTCAATAGTTAAAATTTTGCATTAGATGATTGAAATTACAATGAATGGTCATTTGTTTAACTGAATCTTGTAGATGTCTGCTACTGAGAATTGAACATCGATGGGTCCTTATCAAAAAAACACATCAATTGAAAAAAATCTGAACTCTAGTTTTTGAATTATTTTCAAAAGTCGTCTAGTTTTGAAATGTATTTATTCCATACATTCGCATCATACTGTATATAACATCTGATCATGGGATAAAAAAGGTCCTAATATTTTCTAGATTACTTAGAACCAACAAGAAATCTATATAAACCTAGGCAAGGGTTAGATATTAACTCCATTTACAAATTCAAAATATTAAATTTCATCCATTCCGTCAAATATAATTATAAACATTCAGATCTGAATTTTGAAGTCAATAGTCATAAACATGAACACATAACCGGACAAAAAGATATGTTAACTCTCATCAAAATTAAATGAGATATGGATAAAAGATCTATTTTTTACAATGGAACAATTCTCTATAATGAATTACCTGCTAGGCTGAAGAAAAAATTAAGTGTTGAGAAATTCAAAAAATAACTGAAAACATACTTATGTCTTTGATTCTCTCATATCATCCTAAATCAATTCAAGAACTTATATTCAACAGTCTCTAGAAGAAACAACATTATATGTACTATGTACAGGGTGATTCACCATAAATGTCCCCCCTCCTCTAGCTCACTTATTTTTGAACCGATTTAAAAATTTGACAGATTATTTAAAATGATTTTTCAGAATTCTTTTTCCTGTTGCATCAGAAAATACGGGGTGCTCGGAACAAATGATCTACAGAGTACTACTTCATTTTTTCAAATGGAACACCCTGTATTTTATTGTATTTTTAGATTCTTGCTGAAGAGCTGATTTCATCAATGCATCACACTTGGGGTCTTGCGGGAATGATTACAGAGATATAGGGTGTTCAAAATCGAGATTTTTCTAGTTTGGGATTTTTTTGTCTTGAAACTATTCATTATTGGTCGAAACGGCTCCTCCTATGTTTCCATCTTAACTTTTGATTTACTGTCTACTGACATTTGATTGGAACATTTACAGGGTGGTTCAAGATTCAGAATTTTGATACCCCGTAATAGTTCCAATCATTAAATGTCAGAAGATAGTAAATCAAAAGTTAAGACATGGACATGAAAGCCGTTTTGACCGATGATGAATAGTTTAGTCTCAAAAAAATCCTAAAGTTGAAAAAATCTCGATTTTGAACACCCTATATCTCTGTAATCATTTCCGCTAGACCCCAAGTGTGATGCATTGATGAAATCAGCTCTTCAGCAAGAATCTAAAAATACAATGAAAAATAGGGTGTTCCATATAAAAAAAATCAAATAGTACCCTGTAGATCGTTTGTTCCGAGCACCCTGTATTTTCTGATGCAGCGGAATAAAACTTCATCGAAAATCATTCAAGATGATATTTCAAATTTAGAAATCGGTTTCAAAATAACTGAACTAGAGGGGGGGCATTTATGGTGAATCACCCTGTATATGATTTAAAAATGATTATTTGATTATCTAATTTCTTTTTAGTTGCTCTTTCATAATTTTCCCTGCTATAAACATATATGTTTCTTGGGAATAATTAAGATTTTTTTTTCACTCTATTCATGTGATCCTCATAATCAATATGATTATCACTCTTTTTTTAGGAGGAAGAAATCGTGAAGCCCAAGCAAGCGAAAAAGCGGAAAAAAGTGATGTCGGACAGCGATTGACGGAAACGAGTCGCAAAGGGCACCTACATTTTGGTGTACTCTGAATACCGAGCGACGTCCGTCGCGTGGCCCAGACAGGTGCGGATCCAGCAGAATTGACCGACTGACCACTGCCCGTTTCGCCTGCAGGCGATAAAGGATGCTTGGCAACAAGGAGGGAAAAGTACATTTTGGATTTCGGCGCGCGCCGAGAGTTGTTGATAGAGTATGCGCACCGATCGCCGGGGAGGTGGAAATTTTGCATCACGTATTTTAGATTTATTTTTCTTTTGAGGTGGGTTGGTAAGGGAGAGTTCCAAAAAGGCATATTGACGAGAAGAAAACGGAAACAGCTAGATGTTTATATCACCAAGCCATGGTTTTTTGTCAGTGTATGGAATTTTAGTTATCAAAATATTGCCGAAAAGAGTTTTTTTTCAATTTTTTTTTACAGAAAATCGATTCGATGATTTATCCAATTTCAATCAAAGGATTCCAAAAGTGATACAAAGTTTTTTTTATAGCATTCAAGGTTTTTTACTGTTGGGGGTAAATATTATTTTTGAATTCCTTGTTCATAATCTTTATGATCAATTATTAAAATTTTTTTTTCATTTATCAAACATATCTTCCATTCAGAACTAGTTTTGGTATGAGGAAGAACATAATTATAAAATAATAAGTAATACATATCTAAGAACTACTACACAAACATACAAAGTCCTGGAAGGGACACAAAATAAACAAAATTAACACATCAAAATTCTGAGTTTTAACTCGGAATTTCAAAATTCCGACATATCTCGGAATTTTACATCGAAAATTACGAGTTATAACTCGGAATTTTTAAATTCCGTGTTATAACTCGGAATTTTACATCAAAGTTCTGACTTATTGCTCGGAGTTTCGAAATTCAGAGTTATAACTCGGAATTTTGGATGTAAAATTTCGACTTATAACTCGGAATTTTACATCAAAATTCCGACTTATATCTCGGAATTTTACATCAAAGTTCCGACTTATTGCTCGGAATTTCGAAATTCAGAGTTATAACTCGGAATTTTGGATGTAAAATTTCGACTTATAACTCGGAATTTTACATCAAAATTCCGACTTATATCTCGGAATTTTAAAATTTCGAGTTATAACTCAGAATTTTTAAATTCCGTGTTATAACTCGGAATTTTACATCAAAGTTCTGACTTATTGCTCGGAATTTCGAAATTCAGAGTTATAACTCGGAATTTTGGATGTAAAATTTCGACTTATAACTCGGAATTTTACATCAAAGTTCCGACTTATTGCTCGGAGTTTCGAAATTCAGAGTTATAACTCGGAATTTTGGATGTAAAATTTCGACTTATAACTCGGAATTTTACATCAAAGTTCCGACTTACTGCTCGGAATTTCGAAATTCAGAGTTATAACTCGGAATTTTTTATGTAAAATTTCGACTTATAACTCGGAATTTTACATCAAAGTTCCGACTTATTGCTCGGAATTTCGAAATTCAGAGTTATAACTCGGAATTTTGGATGTAAAATTTCGAGTTATAACTCGGAATTTTACATCAAAATCCCGACTTATATCTCGGAATTTTAAAATTTCGAGTTATAAGTCAGAATTGTTAAATTCCGTGTCAGTCATAACTCAAAATTTTACATCAAAGTTCCGACTTATTGCTCGGAATTTCGAAATTCAGAGTTATAACTCGGAATTTTGGATGTAAAATTTCGACTTATAACTCGGAATTTTACATCAAAATTCCGACTTATATCTCGGAATTTTGAAATTTCGGGTTATAACTCGGAATATTGGATGTGAAATTCCGATTTATAACTCGGAATCTTCAAATTCTGAGCTATAACTCGGAATATTGAATGTAAAATTCCTAGATATAAAAAAAATTTTGAAGAGTTTTTTTTTTATTTTATGTGTCCCTTCCCGGGCTTCCTACAAACATGAGTAGAAGTGAACATGAATAATAAATCATAATAAATCAGGTTATCACAATAAACCACAATAAAACAAAACAATCAATGAACAAAGAAAAGAATTCTAGTCAAGGACATAAATTACTGATGAATTTTAAACATTTCTCTCAGAAATGATCAGTTTTTTTACTTTCTTTTTGAATGTACCTATATTTCTGCAGTTTTTAATTTCATCTGGTAGTTTATTGAAGCCAGCTAAGGCTGCATGAGTGAATCTTTTTTGTCCCAGTGTAGAACTAGCAGCATCAAGGTGAAATAAGTTATATTGTCTAGTTTGATGACTATGAATTTCAAAATTTCTTATCCAAATATTATTAGGTTTCAATTTTTTATTTATGATATTGTATGAAATTGTCTACAGTTCTTCTAAATAATTCGGTTTTCTGGCGATATTTTCATTCCAGATATAATGGACACCCTATGTCCCACTTTGAATGCTCTTTTTTCTTATTTCAGTTATTGATCATGTGTTTTCCATTAAAATTCGATTGGGATAGAGAATTTGCCGAAATAGGGGGTTTCCATTTTTTTTATAGAAAATGGATCCTATTTCAAACAAAAATTATATCCTTTCTTTATATAGCATTTGAGTGGTTTCAACTGTGAAGGGTTATTTTATTTTTGAATTTCTTGTTCATAGCCTTTATGAGCTTAGGCTCCAATAAAGTAAAGACACCCTACCCTGTATACCACTTTGAATACGGCTTTTTTCTCATTTCACTTAATGTTCATGTGTTTCCCATTAAAATCCGATTGGGATTGAGAATTTGCTGAAAAATGGTTATTACATTTTTTTCACAGATAATTGATCGCGGAATTAACAATTTCTATCAAAGGATTTGAAAAATAATATCAAGTTCTTTTATAGCATTTGAGTGGTTTTTTTTAACTTTAGAGGGTAATATTATTTTTCAATTCCTTGTTTAATAACCTTTATGATAAATGATAACAACAATCGAATAATTCGGATTTTTGGGGATATTTTGAAATCTGAATATGATAGGCCGACTTTCATTCCAGATCCTTAATCAGCTTTTTCCACTGAATTAATTTGTAAATTCATGCTTATGCTTCAATAACAAACACCCTGTGTCCCACTTTGAATACCCCTCTTTTCTCATTTCACTTGAGGGTCATGTGTTTCCCATTGAAATTCGATTGGGATCCACAATAATTTGCCGAAAAAGGGTTATTTAATGTTTTTCCTCAGATAATTGATCCGCGGAATTAACAATTTTAATCAAAAATGATATCAAGGTCTTTTATAGCATTCACGTTTTTTTTAACTGTGAAGGGAAATACTAATTTTTCAATTCCTTGTTCAATAACCTTTCTGATAAATGATAATAACAATGGAAATAATTCGGATTTTGGCGATATTTTGGAATCTAAAGATCATAGGCCGACTTTCATTCCAGATCCTTAATCAGCACAAAAGTGTGCAGCTTTTTCCACCAAATTCAGTGGTTCCATGCTTGGGCTTCAATAACGAACACCCTGTGTCCTTTTGAGGTGGGTTGGTAAGGGAGAGTTCCAAAAAGGCATATAGACTAGAAAAAAAAAACAAAAACAGCTAGATGTTCATATCACCAAGCCATGGTTTTTTGTCAGTCAGATCGTGTCTGGGATTTTGGTTATCAAAATATTGCCGAAAAGAGGTTTTTTCAATTTTTTTTTTTTTACAGAAAACCGATCCGAGGATTTGTCCAATTAGTTTTTTTATAGCATTCAAGGATTTTTTTTACTGTGAGGGATAAATATTATTTTTGAATTCCTTGTTGATAGCCTCTATGATAAATGATAACAACAATGGAATAATTCGGTTTTTTGGCGATGTTTTGAAATCTTAAAATGATAGGCCGACTTTCATACCAAATCCTTAATCAGCACAAAAATGTGCAGCTTTTTCCATGCTTAGGCTTCAATAACAAACACCGTGTGTCCCACTTTGAATACCCCTTATTTGTCATGTGTTTCCTATTAAAATTCGAGTGGCATCGAGAATTTCTAATAGTGTCATGTGATTTCATTAAATTTGAAGGCAATTTTCATAAAATAATATTGGTAGTTGGAGACACCACTAAGTAAAGGATTGGTGGCACAAAGTTCATATTTAGTAAATGACATTCAATGTTTTTTTGAGTTACCTCTCTCTTGTAGTAATAACAAACAAAAGTAGACTTTTTCATCAGAATTTTCATAATAACAGTCAAAATCAAGCCTTTGAGAGAAAACAAATGAGGAAAAGTCCCTTGAATCCTTCATCTATTATTAGACAACATTGCTCTGAAGTATGAAATGGAATTTAAGTAAATATATTTTCACTGTTCACTGTTTTTCCTATTTTCAGTAATTATTTTTTCATAAAAATATTCCACACTATCTAGAGTACCTAATTATTTTCTACCTTGAGAGATGGATAAAATTTTTCTTTGGTTTCTTCAATTTTGCAAAGAATTCCAAAAAAATTTCAAATTTCAATCTTCATTGTGTTCTATTGAATATGAAATATCTGTGGAATGTAAGGTAAAATTTTAGATTTCCACAAAATTCTTAATCACATGACATGTTTCACTAACACAGTATCTTCTTCAGATGAAATACTCACTCAACTTCAACTCACTTTTTGGAACTGTCAGAATTTGAGATGATTTTTTTATTATTTTTACTGAATAAAGATTCAACTGCTATATTTGTGGATAAAGAATTCATGATCACGAAAAAAATATACATGGGAACCCTTTGTCATCTATGAACTTCCTCATATTATAGTACTATAGGAGAATGGAACCAATACTAAAAAGATCCTTCATCCACTTGGTACCTTCAATTACTCAGAATTTTGAGATTTTTGTTTTTTTGACTGCAGCGAGTTGCACGGAAAAAGGGCTTGCATAATAGAGGGTTACACAAATTGAGTGTCGATATCAACTTTGTAATTATTAGAGACAACATTCTTTAAATCAGCATATTAGTAGTATTTTGAACGCTTTTCAAGATGGAAAATAACAATAATTGAGCATTTGT